CATACAAGAACAGCTCGGAGCTCAGGAAACCACTTGAAGTAGAAAAGGAAATGGAGGTTTCCGCCAGTTCGACGTCAGAAGAAGACTTCAAGCCTCAGAAGGTAAACGTGAAGAGAGGTTCAACGAACGGACAGGTAGGGGAAGTGGAGATCGGCAAAGAATGGATCTCGAAGGCACATCAGGACATGGGCAAACAAGTGACGAGTGATCCATTGGAGAGGAACAAGACGAGGAACACTTCCCGGACGTGGTGGGTGGCCCTCGAAACATTGAAGGAAATGGAGGACTGCTTGAAGAAGTTGGACAGTGGAATAGCTCGCAGACGACGCAATTGGGCCACCCAGCAAAAAGCCGAGGTTAATAAGATAGAGATGGCGAGTCATCTGAAGAGGTCCTGGCAGAGTTTGTTGAAGGATCATTTTGAAGAGGCGATGAGAACATCCTCATCAGCACCGCCACTAATGGCGAATCCCTTCGTTAGAACTGCGGGACAATTAATGTTCACCTGGAGTCTGGTGGGAATAGAGTTGGAGACATTGACCTCGTATGACAGGCTGAAGTTGGGAAGCAAAAAGCTAGAGGTGTATCAGGCACTGATGCAACACGTGGCCAGGGACAATTCAGGCTTGAGCCTGGCTAGAAGAAAAGATGCCACATGTTTCTTGAGATGGATAATGTCAATGATGTCTGATAGCACCATCCTGGCATGCCACCAGAGAGCAAGTGGAAGTAAAACCATGGAGAGAAGAGTCTCAACGATCATCTTGAACGTATATCAGAGTACAGGAATAGAGAAAGAAGATGATTCCAGACTATCCTTAGAGAACCATCGAAAGCTGGACGAGGTACGGAGGTTCTCTAATAAGAAGTTCGAGGAAGAACATGATGTTCACCGTAACCTGGCCTCGTCAGAACAGTACTCGAGACTCAGTGAGAAGGGGGAATACCAATATGTGTCTGGAGTAATGGGAATAGCCTACAATCCCTTCTTAGACTCGGAAGCTGGAGGAGCCCACAGAAACCATGAGGTAGCGGAGCTACTGAAGTTTTGTCAGAAAGAATAATGGAAATAGACGCGGTGGAAAAAGAGGGGCCGAGCCTGGGCCTGATTCTTGAGAAAACACCAGAGGTGATAAGCATACCGCGCTCAAACAAGAGAGTTGAAGTGAACATGGGCGGTGGAAATGGCTTGTTAACCACGAACTTGGGAGTGATATGGAAGCTACTAACACCCTCCTGGTGTCCACATCCCCATGCGAGTCTAATCGAGGAAACCACCGAGCGAGTGAGGTTAGCACCAACGGAAGATGAAGATCTGACGAAGTTGAGTGTGCTACATAAGCTAATCACGCCCCAGATGTAAGAGCCAAGCGAAAGGACGAGCGACCCCGGGTCAGCAAAGAAATTGGAGCCGGGTAGCTGTCTGGATTCGACGTGTGGGAACGGAGAGCACATCTGCGATGGACGGTCATGCGTCAGAATACTGTCGTTTCAAAAAGAAGACCTGGTCACTTGGTTCGAAGACATCACAGAAAGGGAGAAAAGTGAAGTGCAAATAATAGCGGAATGTTACGCGAGAACCACGGTGAATATAGCGACAGCTCTCGGATTCTTCTCGAGAATGTGTGGTCTGCAGGCACTGGAGAGACTGGAATCTGAACATCATTTAGTGACGGCGTTGAGCGTAGAATCATGGCCCGGGGTGTTGCAGGTGACTCAAAAACACATCCGGAGCTGGAAAGTTGGTCTTGAGGCGGAAATGGGATTTCCCATGAGCGAAGCTTATGGCTTGCCATTGAACGCGAAATCGCTGATAGGGTCAATGATGGCCAACTTGTGCGGAAGTCACTACCCGCTACACATGGCGATGGTGGAAGTGTCCAGCCAGAGAATACTGGTGGACAAGGCCTTCTCGGTGCCCAAGTGCGTGAGGTTGGCTCGGATGTCGCATCACTCGCACAAGTTGTTGAGAAAAATCAAAGGGACAGTACCAAAAGAATTGAGAGATGACTTAAGCGAAATTTGGGGAGAAGATCTTCTGAAGTTGGAAAGAGAAAACACAAGCGATCACGAGAGACAAAACGTGATCGGAAAACCTGTGGGAAGTACTCCGAACCTGGAGGATAACGACGCGATGCACGAGAAAATGATGGAGCTTGAGCCTCTCTTGGAAGCCTCAGGGGAGCGTAATCTCAGGAGCATTGAGATCTCTCATGGGGAATGCCCATGCCACTGTTTGGCACAAACGGTGTGGTATCCAGATCACAAGAACCTTTGCCTGGTGTGGGATGTGGAAGAGATTCGGTCGATCGGACTACTGGATCACCGGCAGAAGGTGACGCTCTTAGTAGTGAGTACGATGTTAGCTCTGAGATGGATAGAAGAGAATATAACGAAGTATCGGGAGGCGACGACGCCAACGGCTGAGTCAATATACGCGATAGACTACAGCAGGAGACTCGAGTTGTTTGAGACTGCGTGCAAAGTATTCGCCATACCGACGGAAGTCAGGCACGTATGGAGTCGCTTGAGGTACTTTCCATGGTTTCGGGCGACACTGACGTCTTGGTTGTACATGACAACGAAAGATCACATGAGAAAACATCAAAAAGAGTATCGACAGTTCCAGGCCGAGATTGGGCCGGAAGCTTTCAAGAGACCCCTGCTAACCCATCGTAATGCGATCACGGCAGGATGGAAAAGAGTGGGTAAGATGTCTAGAGACAATACCAAAGCGAGGGAGTCGATACTAGAGGAAGACCTGGCGAAGAACGTGAGCTTGAGCCTGCACAACTCCTTTTGCTTGAACCGAGAAGCTAGGGTGAAGGCACTACCCAACCAAGCAAAGAGGTTGCAGGAGCAGAGAGAATGGATGCGATCCTATGAACAGCTGAAGGCTTGGGAGGAGATTGTGATTAGTTCCGATGATGAAGAGGAACTGTTGAGACAGTTTGCCGCATCTAGCACTTCAGGATGCAATACCTCCAAGGCGAAGAGTACAAGATGAATGGGCAGATCGGATGGATCTTGAGTCTTGAGAGGGAAGGGGGGCTTGAGCGTGGATTCGAGTGAAACTTGGACTCACGAAAAAGAAATTTTAACAAAGCAAATATTGTTACTAATATACTATATTTATTATATAAATCGAAATGCTGCAATGACAATTTCCTGATTGAATAGGACAAAAGAGATTTTAAAATGATTGGCTTGAAAAGCGAAAGTTCAAGGGTGCAGGTGTATGCAGATTTTGGTTGCTGTTTAGCAATAGTGTGAAAATTTTAAATGGCTGTGAATTTTGGGGTGTAGATAAGCTTAAATCTGCTGCAAACTTCTGTAAATGACCACTGGCACTGTATCTTGAGCAACACTCGGTTTTTCTGGGACTCACTGGCAGAGGACAGCGCGCGATGAGGACATCGATCTCGAGTCCGGGGAGTATGTGCCAGTCGGTCATATTTGGAAGTTTGACCTTGAGAGGAGCAAAAAACACTTGATTTTGGAGTGAAATTTAATTTTTCAAAATTTCGAATGGAACCTGTCATGCACGATTTTCTCGCGAGAACTGAAAATCAGAAAAAGAGATCAGAACAATTTCAGAACAATTGAGTCGCATACGCGGGAAAGTTGCAAGAAAAAGCAGTAGGAAATTGCTATTCGCAATTTCCATCACTATAATAATCGAGAGTAGAGCTGTCCCATCTGTGACAGAGACGAGAGCATTCCCTCGAATTGGATTATAACGACTGGAGTATTATTCGGAACTGGACTAGAGTGAACCTTCGGTGGAAAGGTGGACAGCTTGAGTGTCCTAATGGTTCACAAGAAAACTATTGTCTAGAGAGTAAACTCGTTCTCATTGTTAAAACTATAAAACATTAGACTCATTTAGTTGCGTTATTTAATTCTTGAGTTAATTACCGACTGGATTATTTCCCACTTCTTGAGCGTGCTACTATGTGAGTACAAATTTAAATTCCTAGAGTGTGTTTTATAATTGTTATGTTGAGGTAAGGCGAGTTTGAGGTTGATCCATCTGAAATGGATCAAAGTTCCACTGTCTAATAAAAAAGTAACTTAACGGATTGTTCCAACCCGGTTTTTAACGGCGTTCATGTATTTTGGGTATCTAGAGACCTAAGTATGGGGACGTTTCTAATTCTAGAGTGGGGGGATATTTTAGTAGTAGCCTTTAAGCTGTAACGGGTCGTAGTCTCAATGTCACAAGCGAACCGAACTGGCTCCGACCGTTCTTGAGGTAGAAAAACACAAGAGATAGTGTCCCTGACCCTTGAGCCAGTGGTTATAGGGCCTATTTTTCTTAAGCCTCATGTGTGACTGCAGTAGACGAATGTTACATCCTTCAGCCTTCAGGATTTGTCCAATCGTTCAAATAACGTTCTTATTCCTTCTAAATCGCCAATTCGGAAGGTTCGCTGCTAAAAATTCGAAATCGCCAAATCTGCATTTTGGCACATTCTGGTAGAATGTCACACTCCGTCGCTGTGTAGTATTTGGGCGAATGTAATTTGAGCGTTCTGGTCGAAGCCGGAGAACAGTAACGTTTTTGTCGACCCGATGTTAGAAAGACCGCCAAAAGAACTGGCTTGGTAGAGACGGTGAAAAGCATGTAGAGCTCTGTTTAGACGTTGGCCAGTCGTCTTAGAACCTAGCTTTATTTTCCGTCGATATGTACTTCCGGGCGAATGTTACAAACGAGTAGAATTAAGGTAACTGACGCCTGCCAGTCGTTAATAGGTACTTTTTCTACGCTCCGTCGCTGTGTAGTATTTGGGCGAATGTTACAATGAATTTATCAGAAATTCGGGCTAACAAATTCTTCTATTACAGGCTAGATCTAATTTTTGATCACAGATGCTCGTAATTTTTCATCGCTTACATGCCAAAGTGCTAAAACTTGTTTGGAACTCTAGAACTGTTGTCGGTGGTAAGTTGCTGCGAAGTCATAATAATGATTGTATATTTTTTCGCCTTTCAGTGCTCATGGTAAGTGGAATACCTGTTCCCTTGATTGTGCCTCTTCGCGTGAGGGGAAATGTTTTGGATGATCAAAAATCTAAGTTTGACATTGACACCTCCAATCCAATTGAACTTAAATGCGATTACTCGAAATTCACCATTTATTATTCCACGAACGGGGCAACACCTGACCTTCCTGGAGGCGACCTCTCAAAATTTACAAACAAATATGATAAACCGTTTCATCTACCGGTTGGTAAATACCTTGTCAAGGCTTTCGCGGTTAACCCACAGGGGCAGAGAAGCTCAATCAACGCGAAGCTTTTCCGTGTCAGCCAGGGTCTGAAAAATTACCAAGATCGGTCGCAAGATGATGATTTCAAGTTCATTAAAGACCTACATAAATCTGAACTAATGACCAACAACGAAAACTGGAGTCCTGATATGTCCAAAAATTGTTTCTATGAGAAGCAAATTATGATTCCAGATGACTTGACTACTTCAAGGCAGAACTTCATTCCTCGAAGCCTGAATCAAGATCCTCAAGTTGGAGCCTTCTGCACTGCTTGTGGGTTCAACGAAATGCGAGGAAGTAAGTTTTGCAGCCGCTGTGGCAAAAATTTGGGTTCTGCTAATAATCTGACAGGCCGACAGTTAAGAAGGGAGATTGATTCTACTAGTTGTTTAAAATGCTATGCGTCGGTTGCTGATAACTCCAGTTTCTGTCAAGATTGTGGCTGCCAGATGCCTAGAGTTGATCCGAGAAATATTGTGAGAAGCATGTCTGGATGGCCAAATGATTGCATGAGCAAATTCTGTTCAACTTGCGGGCATGATAATTCGGCGCTTGATTTGTACTGCTTCAAATGTGGACTGGATTTGGATAGTTCGATACCTCCAGCGTCGATGATTCCATTCGTTAAGTGCACTCTATGCTCCAAGGAGAACGAACAGAAGTCAACTTTCTGCATCGCATGTGGTTCAGTTCTAGTTGTCGCTCCCAGCATGGCAACGGGTCTCAATTCATTTTGCAATCAACAGTACAGCAAATCTACCTTTCCACAGGGTAAAAACTGGGAGCCGGTTTCGATACCGATGGCCAAAATTACATTGAGAAATTCAGTGGCAACTCAGACTGTTGGCCTGCATTATCCAACTGGAACCGAAACTAAGAGGAATGAGTATCACGAAAAATGGACTCAAAGAGAGAAGTATGCCCAGCAGAAGAAACCGAAAGGAAAAACAACCCAATCCGAAAGTACAGGAAGCGGTTTTTGGGAAGCCAATGTAGAGTTTCTCAACACGGCTGTGAGATCTTACGTCGAGAAGAATGCCGAAGCTAGAGTCAAGTTAAGCCAAATGAAACTCAAGGACCTTCAATCTTTCGCCATTGAAACTGGTTCCAGAAGCACAGAATTTGTTCTTAAATTTGAAGTGCGCAATGAGAAATCGGACTCTGATGAAAAGAAGTCTAAAAAGAAGAATGGGAAAAAACAGAACAAAAAACGCGATAAGTCTCCCAGTAGCAGCAGAAGTAGTAGTAAAAGTAGTTCCAGTTCAAGCGATGAAGACGAAAAAGCTTCTAGGAAAAGCTCTAAAAGCAACAAGGATTCCAAGACAGACAGAAAGATATCCTCTAAGTCCAGAACAGAGGGATCGGTCAAATCTGAGCGAAGTCGCGCTTCGTCTGCGCAGTCCTTGTCGAAACTCCTCATAGCTGCAGTGAAGAATGAAGAGGATCCTGATTTCTTAAAACAGTACATAGTTGAAGGAGCAAACGTGAACTTGATTGACCCCGAAAGTGGAGACTCGCTGTTGGGCGTGGCTGTGAAGCATGGGAACGCGAAAGTGATTCCAATTCTGGTCAAATTAGGCGCCGAGGTTGATCAGATATCGGGCAAAGGGGAAACGCCTCTGCATGCAGCAGTAAATGAGGTATGCATGAGTTGTCATATGGCACCATGAAAAAGCATTTGTCTAGATTTTAGACTCGATTAGATTGGTAACACAGCTTAAATTATTTTTAACAAGTTTAAATTATATTGCGAGTGTTGTATTAGTTTTTTAATTTTATCTTGGCTAGACTAAAGTTGGATTCTGCTTTGTGATAAAAATTCATTCAATAAATTCGTTTTCGATGTTTCTATAGGAAGATGTCGATTATGAAGTAGTGAAGACTCTTCTGGAATCCCGTGCCAATCCAAGCAAACGAGACAGCAAAGGACGAACAGTTCTGGATGTTGCAACCAAAAGAGAAGTCGACAAAAAGATTCTCAAGCTGCTGAAAGCTGCGAGTGAGAGGCCGGGATCAGCGGCTAGCGTGGCTTCGTCAAGGCAGAGAGCCAAGAAGTCACATATGCTTCAAGGAGCTACGAAGCTTCCGGCGGGCTCCCCAGAAATTGATCTGGGACAGTTCTAAGAGGCGATGGTGAAAGTTGAAAGATGTTTAATGGACTTGTATTATATTGTAAATAACTGAACATTAAATGTCATTATACTGTAATTCTGTAACATAACGAGGGCTGATTTGATTCAATGTAAATTTAAAACTAATTAGAAAAAAAATCTTTTTTGATGGATCAAATGGATGAGAAGTAAACCATCTTTAACCTCGAGCATTTCCGGTTTTATCGCAGATCAGATCTTTTTGGGCCTCTAAATCTAATTTGTAAATACAATTCCTAATTCACAATTTTATTTCTATTTAGAACTAGCACGAATGTATTTAGATTGAATTGCAAAATAATTCATTTTGTGTGAATACATTTGTTTTCGAGAACAAAATACAAAGAGTGACTGAGAGTGAGTTTTTGCAAAAAAGAATGCGCTCTGTAATGGAAAAGTCGATGAACGCAGTGCATTCCTTTATATAGGTCGTGATGGGTTTCAAAAGATAGTCTTCTGGCTTAGATTTGATGAGTTCTGTTCATTTCCTGTCATAAAAGGAAGGCAAACTCCAGTATTGAACAGCTAAAGTGTGATAAACGAAAAATATGATCAACTTCTAATTTCTAAACTGCATTTTAATTGTCAGATCACCCAGCGGAATAAAAACTTTACCTAGTGATCTAGTTTTTACCCTTGTAATTAGGGTATTGTAGTTGGGTACTAGACTTTTCTCCCGTAAGTAACTTTGTTTGCAGGACTCATCTGGACCTTGGTGCATAATGAATTCAAGTTTCTTCGTGTCTCCTGCACACTTAACCTGTGGGTAAAGAATACGATGGGGTAGCAAATATACTGGGTTCGAACCTGATCCGGACATACTTTTTTTTTGCAAATGGAAATTTTCTGTTTCAAATAAAATTGTCGACCTAATATTTATCTGCTGATGTTTTGTCAGTAAACAAGTTTCATTGTAGTTGCTTCTACTGTTTTATCGTTTCAAAGAGCTGGACGAGTCGAAATTTGGTTTTTACATTGTTTGTAATTTTAGCAAACTGATTTGTTAACTTTGCCTTGTGCATTTTTTTTCGGCTCAATGGGTTTTTGTTGACTTAGTGACCTCCTTTTGCGTCGTTTGAGGACCGAAAAAAAATTAATGTGTGTGTTCAGAGGGGAAATGGGGCTTAATTTTAAAAAATAAGTTTGAGTTGTTTTTTCGTCTTGAAAGGTTACTGCATTGTTTCGGCTTTGTTACCGCTTGGTAATTATAAATTCAATCAACTATCCGGCGCATCGGACCTAAAGATTGAGACTACCGGAACCTGTTTTTTGTTAAGTAGAGTCTGTGCTTTTTCTGACTATCGTCCGTCTGTTTGTTTTTGTTGGTCTATTTCCCTTAGCCCAACTTCAGCTTTCTTCCAAGTTGCTCTAAAACCAAGGCTTGAGACCACAAAGCCCAGCAGTTCAATTCCAGTCGAGACGTTTTTTTTTTGCAAACTCAAAATTTTTGGCTAATTTAGATTATTTTCTGTCTGCTTATTTTTGTCGGCTGATTTCCGATGAAAGGACTTTTGGGAATATTCGGTTTCTTTCAATCATTCCGAAAGTTTCTTGTATAGTTTTCAATGGTAGAGGTAATTTTTTTTGGATATGTTGCAGTTTTTAATGATAAGAATGATTTTTCCAGTTTATTTTTTCCGTATGATTTAAATCATTGTCATTCATTTTTGTATCGCAAGTGGCGGGAAGCTCAGTTTTGCCTGTCTCAAGTTGATTTTTTTATCAAAATAGTTTCAATCTTAAATTGATCATGAAAGTCAAAGATTTAAGACCATTTATTTTTTACGTTAAAATTCGAAAGTGGAGTTAGGCGCTGTCAGATACTTTCGGTGAACTGTCGACTTTTTGGGCGTGGGCTGAAAGCTGTCGGCCCATTTACCTAATAGTTTTTTTTATTAGTTTCTGGTCATATCATTTGATTTTGATTATGCTGTGACAATATAGTTTGAAAACTTCAAATCAAATAATCCGGCTGTTTTTAATTGACCTTTTCACAATGTTAGCTTTATTTTGTTCGGAATATACTGGTTACTCCTTGAGTAGCATGCTGCGTTTATATCTTTTAGGGCAAAATCATTGAAACCATGAGTAAATGCTCATTTTTATTGGTACTTTTTGATCAGTTTTGTTCATCAAACGATTTTTTAACAAACGCTGAACGTAGTTCAGACTCTTATTTAGGTCGTGATGATTTTTTTGAAGTCGTAGTGTGTTCAGGCTCAAATTTTCTTTTTCGCGGTTTGATTTTTGTAAATTTTAGATCATTTATTTTGTTAAAAAGAAGGCAAACTCCACTATGGAACAGCAAAAGTGCAAAGTTCACGGGAAATGTGATCGATTTATAATTTCGCAAGTGGAATTTAATTTTCAGATTTCCCAGATAATTACAAGTTTTAATTATTGATCTAGTTTACTCAAATTGGGTTAATTTTTTCCAAAAAAATGTTATTAATTAATTTTTCTAGAAATTCTAAGACGTTTAGGTCATATATTTGCTTCCCTAAAGTTTTTGCGTCCCTAAAACTTTGTTGGTCAGTGCAAAAGGCTGCTTTTGGTGTAACTTTTTCTTCAATTGTCTAGGTAGTTTCAGCGTAATTATTTATTAATTAAAAAAACCAAAATGACCTTTTTGGGATAAAATTTTGGGATAAAAACCATAATAATTCTGGCGAAGTTTTAAGCAGCTTTTATTCTCTTCTTTTTTCGTATAATCTAAACCCAATTTGAGATAGAAGTGTTTGAAATTTCCAATTTTATTTTTGTCCGGATAATTTAAATCAGCACTGTTTAGAGAAACATTATGAGATCCTAATTCCCTAATAACTATCTCGAATTTTTCGAGTCTAGCAACGCACAATCTAAGTTATGTAAGATAACGAGATAGGCCGTAATATATATAATAATGGTACCCCCTATAACACAATGACCTTTCGATTGAGCTCATTCTTTTCACTAAATGTATCTCTATCGGTGCATGCAATTTAATGCTTCTTTTTTTAAATTCTGATTGGGAGGTTGAACTATATCTAAATTTTGTTTTGACACTCACGGTAAAAACTCACACTCCTAATACAACAAAAAATTTTGGATGATATTTTAGTAGCACCATCTACACATCATTCACTTTGTGGTGACTTTAACATTAATATTTTAAGAAAATGCAAACGACTCTCTGAACTGGTAAGCATATCAAATGGAATCAATCTTCTACAAAATGGAAAACAAGCAACCAGAGAAAGTAAGACGCGTATAGATATGTTTTTTTTTCAATGTAAAAAAAATCAGTAAGCATCTTCAAAACGTTGGTAACTGATCATTATGGAGTAATTTTAAACGCAACATCACAAACATGCAAAAATGAATCTTTTATTACCAAAATGCGACCATGGTTCAAGCTTGAATCGGAATCTTTTCTGAAAGAACTAAATGAGTCTTTATATGAAAATTTATTCGATGTTTGAAACAAAAATTAACCAAATTAATTGCGATGAGCTTTTTTTGCTGTTGAACGTAAAGCTCAGAATTAACATTGAATCATTTTAACATTGATTTAACATTGAATCAGTAAATTTGAATCTCAAAGCTAATTGGGTCGCAAAATGCTGAGTCAGAAAAAAAGAGCATTTTATCAAAACAAATAACGATTGGAATCCAACATCAACAGCAAAGATTTTTTCCGTCTGTATAACGATGTAACATTTGCTACCAAAAACAACGCCCTGGAAGAAAAGAACATAAATGTTGATGAATTTAACGAGTTTTTTTGCAAATTTTGGAGAAAAATTGGCGAGGAATTTTAATACTTTAAAAGAATTAGGAGTCAGAAAGCAAATTAACTCAATGTTTTAGCAGACATAACGCAAACTGAAATTTCAAACATAATCGAATTGCTAAAAATCAAGTTTAGTTTGGATACATATGGAGTTAATCACTATAACTTGAAAAAGATTTGTCCAGTTTTGACAAAACTTTCACAAAAATGTTTGGATAGACAAGTCTTTCCAGACAGTTTCAAAGAAGGCAATGATCTAGACCCATCAAAGTACTGGCCAATTTTTCTTTTACCAGTTTTGGGCCCACAAACGACATTTTCGGTTTGTTTTTCCAAAAATTTGCCTGCGGGGTTTGTAGTGTGTTGGAAGACCTAAAAGGTCAACGAACTTTCGAAAATCCGCCTTATCCTCTTCGAAAAAATGCTGGATCGGCCTCTGAATCAAATTGCGTTTTCTAAATTTTTGCGTTCAAATTAGCTTCTGAAATTTATAGGTTGTCTGGAATTGCTTTGAATCTGTTCTCAGCTGATTGGTTTTTTTTTGCTCTCCATGTTTTTTTTTATAACTGCAACTAGAACGAACAAAGATATTTATCTCAAATTGCAGTTCTTGCAACAATGCATCATTTTGTCTTTTGTCGTTAGAGTGACGACATAGTTGTTCAATTTTTTGCTTGTTATTAATCGTTAAAAATTAAAGATCTGATTATAAATAACTTAAAGCTATCAAATGTTTATTATACGTTCACTTTGATAAGCTAAGCATTATTTGTTTTTTTTTAAAACCAGCTGTGTAAACCATTGTGCAAGAAAAATGGCTGCTTGACAAATTTAGAGTTCAATCTAAAGTTAAATCAGTTTAAACATGTAAATAAGAAATAACTTTTGCTCAAATGTTCTCTGATTGCTAAAAATAAACATTTTCAACTATTGTCTTCAAATCTAGATATATATTTTTTGCTCTTTCGAATACAATTTTTGAAAACTCATTTCAAGAATGAAGTTTTGCTGATTATACTGAATTGCTTGAAACAAAATTTGTACCAAAAAATATTGAGTACGAAAAAATAATCCACTTGAAAAAATTTCAGGCTTTTTACAATATTTCTCTATAGAAGTATTACCTCTTAATTATAATTGAGAGAAAGCAAACCAACCGCGCTGTTTTGAAATGACATTGTCGTTGGTTAAAAGTTTGGTCGTGTTTGGTGTGTTGATTGTCGTAGTTAGTTGTGACGTTTCTGAAGGAACCTCAAACGCATGTCAAAAAAGAACCAGGTAAGTGTAATCACCTTTTTTTTCTGGTGACTCTTCTGGTCGACCTCTCAATAGGCTCCTCGTTTTGTACAGCTTGCAAAGAAACTGCTTCTCATAGACTTTCTTTTGCGCTCTTAGCTTATTGTTTGAATACTTTCATTTGAACTTTTTTTGCAATATTGGAGGATCTAGAATATGGATTTTGAGATAATCATTATTTTATTGGTAAATATTTAAATAGAGGCTTCTCATTAACCAGGAAAAGCTACAACATGAATCATGACAAAAAAATTTCCGAAAACTGGAATATCGGAAGGCAGTTGCTTAGAGTTTTTTTCTCATGTCACCCAAATGATTGTAATATTCTTTTGTTGTGTTTTTATATTTTAGTGTCCGTTTATATTTTAGTGTCAATGAGGAAGAGAGAGTATGCGAGGATGTGGCCTACACAGAGAGATACAAAGCCAAATGTTGGAATCTTTTCAAATGGTTCTCATGCACCAAAACTAGGTCAGACTGTTTTGCCATCTAGATCATCATCACTTCATTACACTTGCGGAGCGAGTGTATTAGTACGAACCTTCTTTTTTTCCAACCTAAGTTGCAAATATTGGTACCACTTATGGGGCATTTTTACAGTTTTCTCATAGCATGTGCTTTGACATTCCAATAGTGATAAGTTAACACCGAATGAGTCAAATGAAACGAAAAAAGTGATTTGTTTCAAACAATATATTACGAAAACTCGGTCTTAGAAATTTTCTAACTCAATATATCTCGCAATTTTTCGAAATGCATAATTTATACATAATTTATGCATAATGATTTGTTTCATGCAAAGTTAGTGTGGACGCCTTCAGTTTGTTATATTCCAAATTATTACTTGCAAAATTGAGTCTATTTGTATTTGGTGCCACTTTCACTGAATCGCGTTTGCAATTTATTAGCATATGTAGCTGCTTTCTTCGTGGCTAGTGTTTGTCGGTTGTTAAGCTCGGGTGGCTGAGTGGATAGTGCGTGAGACTCTTGATTGCAGTAGGTCGCAGGTTCGAAACCTGCACGTAGCAGAATTTTTGCTAATTCGAGGCTCATTTCTACTTTTTCTTATTTCACTTGATATCGCTGCTTTTCGGTCGTGTTCTGTGTCAAATATTATTGTATTTCCTATCTCTTGTCTACTTTTATGGGTAAATAGCTTGGTTCCTTTTACTTATTCCACCCAAAAATCAAGACCCAATTTTTTTCTACTTCGTGTAGATCTGATGATTTTTTTTGAAAATATGGTTCGAACATTTTTTTGGCCGATCTAGTTCTGTTAATTATGAAAATTATCTTTATGAAAAAGTTTTGTTTCTTGGATTGTTGATGAATGTATTTTTTGGTACAAGTTGGACACCATAATTTGACTTAATCGACCTGAACGAGACAGATTTTTTATTCAGAACTGCTTATCACGAGGAGTGTAGAATGGAACCGGTGACCACGATTGTGATCACGTGGGAGTGCTGCAGTGGTTATCAGGAGACAAGTAACCGCCGATGCAGACGTAAGTTTGTTTCCTGGGTGGGAATTTAATCAACCACTAAAAAACAAAAAGATTTTTCCATAAGTACTAATTTACGACACGCATTTTCTTAAACGAAAAATTCGAGTGGGCAGTGTTCCCAAAAATGCAATTTTCTTGGGACAAAAAGTACCAAAAATTGCCCAACTTTAGGAGGAACTCAATTGAGTCGACGTAAAAAAGATTGACAACATCCAAACTACCACCTTGGGAGAGTACTAAATCTGCTCTTGTTCTGATTAACTGTTTTTCATTGGAAAAAGGATTTTAGCCATACTCTCAGACTCGTAGATGAGCGACTGTAAATTGTAGTTGAAATGGAATGAGATTAAATTGTGATGCTTTAAGGCTATGAAGATTTTAAAAGGAATGAAAAATCTAGATTGTTCTTTTTGTAGCCGTCTGTTCGAGCGGATGTGAAAACGGAGACTGCATTGCACCCGACAATTGCAGATGTCACGATGGGTTTAGAGGCATCAGTTGCGACAGCTGTGAGTTTTCTACTGACCACTATAGCTTAACAGTTTTGTTTTACAAGCTTTAGTTTTACGAGGCAGAAAGAAATAACTCGACTATCTTAAGATTTCGAAACTTCTCTTAATGACAATTTTCGAAAATAAACTTATAGATTCGCATCAGTATTTAGTCGAAAACAAATGCAACCTCAATTTTGAACAAAAAATAGTACGCGGCGCAGTTTTTTTGTGGTTAATTAGTGTCGTGCAGTGTTTTGGGGAGACTGGAACCTGTGTTGGTCGACCATAATAAAACTAGAAGATTGTTTTTTTTTAAGAACAACTGACCTCTCAAACAAATTCATGCACACGCTAGCTTAACTTGCGCTGTCTTTTAACTTACGCTGTTCTTTAAATTTTCCTGATGAATATTCGGTTTTGTACTGACCACTATAGCTTAACATATTGAGTTTTCTACTGACCACTATAGCTTAACAGTTTTGTTTTACAAGCTTTAGTTTTACGAGGCAGAAAGAAATAACTCGACTATCTTAAGATTTCGAAACTTCTCTTAATGACAATTTTCGAAAATAAACTTATAGATTCGCATCAGTATTTAGTCGAAAACAAATGCAACCTCAATTTTGAACAAAAAATAGTACGCGGCGCAGTTTTTTTGTGGTTAATTAGTGTCGTGCAGTGTTTTGGGGAGACTGGAACCTGTGTTGGTCGACCATAATAAAACTAGAAGATTGTTTTTTTTTAAGAACAACTGACCTCTCAAACAAATTCATGCACACGCTAGCTTAACTTGCGCTGTCTTTTAACTTACGCTGTTCTTTAAATTTTCCTGATGAATATTCGGTTTTGTACTGACCACTATAGCTTAACATATTGAGTTTTCTACTGACCACTATAGCTTAACAGTTTTGTTTTACAAGCTTTAGTTTTACGAGGCAGAAAGAAATAACTCGACTATCTTAAGATTTCGAAACTTCTCTTAATGACAATTTTCGAAAATAAACTTATAGATTCGCATCAGTATTTAGTCGAAAACAAATGCAACCTCAATTTTGAACAAAAAATAGTACGCGGCGCAGTTTTTTTGTGGTTAATTAGTGTCGTGCAGTGTTTTGGGGAGACTGGAACCTGTGTTGGTCGACCATAATAAAACTAGAAGATTGTTTTTTTTAAGAACAACTGACCTCTCAAACAAATTCATGCACACGCTAGCTTAACTTGCGCTGTCTTTTAACTTACGCTGTTCTTTAAATTTTCCTGATGAATATTCGGTTTTGTACTGACCACTATAGCTTAACATATTGAGTTTTCTACTGACCACTATAGCTTAACAGTTTTGTTTTACAAGCTTTAGTTTTACGAGGCAGAAAGAAATAACTCGACTATATTAAGATTTCGAAACTTCTCTTAATGACAATTTTCGAAAATAAACTTATAGATTCGCATCAGTATTTAGTCGAAAACAAATGCAACCTCAATTTTGAACAAAAAATAGTACGCGGCGCAGATTTTTTGTGGTTAATTAGTGTCGTGCAGTGTTTTGGGGAGACTGGAACCTGTGTTGGTCGACCATAATAAAACTAGAAGATTGTTTTTTTTAAGAACAACTGACCTCTCAAACAAATTCATGCACACGCTAGCTTAACTTGCGCTGTCTTTTAACTTACGCTGTTCTTTAAATTTTCCTGATGAATATTCGGTTTTGTGACTGTTGTAGATTTTGAAGATATTTCTGCAGTCCAGTTTTGCAAAACTACAGAAGTTTTGCTCTTAACTGACTATAGAGACCTAATTTCGATAAGTTGTCTAACTAAAGATGTACAAGGTGACATGGTTTCTTTAAATCATCGACTTCACACAAATAAGTTAGTAATTAATCTAAAACAGTTACAATACTTGTTAAATGCTTGTTAAATAACAAGCAAACCGGTGTCAAAAATTTAGGTGTTTATTTTGCTTCAAAACTTTTGATTTCGTTAACATGAAACTCATTAAGCAGCGCCATTTAACCTCAAAGCTAAAACCCTACATGCCTGACAGTAAAATGACAAATTTTTACTGTGTCAATGTTGTTGTTCTCTTTCTCCAGTGCGGTATTTTAATTCACGGATGTTGCAGCTACCCGCATTTTGACTCAATTACTGAAATTCAACTTTTAAAAGAAAACGATACAATCATAGTCATGGTATTTTCGGCAATTGAAATTTTTTTTAGCTTCGGAGTTTCATATATACAAACTGCTAAAATTTGTGCAAGGTATTTAATGGATTTCAATCAGAATGTTTATTCCGAGTGAAATCTAAGAGGTCTGATTGGAGCTTACTCTGTGAACTATTTTTAAACCAAAAACAGCTATTCTGGATGAGATTCCGGGCGTGCTTACATTAAATTTTGATCTGGCGTTTCTTTATTTGATCCCTGCAAAAACCGGAAAAAAAAATTGTAAAAAAAGCTTTTACCATAATTTTGAAGCCTTAAAGAAAAACATGGAATGATACGATAGGTTTTCGATTTATAAGGTTGAGAAGCTACCAAAAATACCACAAGCTACAAGAATACCACATTACGCTATACGCTAATTTAATCACTAATTTTTGAATATTTAGGAAAATAATTTGAAGTCTTCGACTATTGATAAACGTTAAGTTGGGCATCAGGTCGCTCTAGCTATCCATTTTTTATTTGAAATTTTAGTTTTTTTTTCCAAATAGGTAAGAGCGAAACAAATTATAGCTAATTAAAACAGCCTTAAAACTTTTTTATTCATTTTTAGGATGATTTTCTTACTACTTTTTCTCTCATGTTCTCTTTGTGTTCGTCAAAGACAACAGAAAAAGTTTAGGCTAAATACCAAAAATCAAATACAAACAATTAATTTACATATATGTTTTGAATTCATTTTCGCTTTTCATTTGAACCGCACAAATAAACATTTTTACTTAGCAATTAAAACTTTGGAATTAAGTTTTCAAAATCTTTAAAAATATTAGTACTGAGAGACGGACTCATAGGTTTGACAAAGACTTTTTGAAGCTAGGAACTTTAAAGTCTCGAAGTAATGGACTCTTTCGTTTTGTAAAACACACGCTCGCTGTTGATTTGGCTAAAAATTGACATATTCAGCGAAATTTTTACCCTCGATAGCTATAATTTGAATCAAAAAAAGCTGAAGCAAAAAAAGTGAGGCGGTGTTGGTGGGTTGTTGAAGAAAGAACAAAAGTATAATGTTATTCGCAAGGTAACGGATAATAACATTTAGGTTTTAAGCATTGCCATTATAACGCAAAAATGTGGTACTGTTTTAACAGTAATTTATGTTCCATGTTCCACCCACATCGACGAACAAAATCATTTTAAAAACATTGTAAATGTATCTCAATTCTCTAATGCTGACACCAGAAACAAAACCTGAGGATGTGGTGATTTGATTATTATTATAGCTCGAAATACTATACAATCGGTTGAACTGACAACCATTTTTTCGGGAAATAGTTTATTTTTTGCTGAACTCGGACAAACCCACGAGAAACTAACATTTCAAAAATTTGCTCGTTTCTTTTTTATTGCAGCTACCCAAACAGTGGCTGAAACTTGAAAATCCAAAAATTCATAAGCCAATTATCAATGTTATTCATAATCAAATAACAAAAATATGGAGGGTTTTGATGGAAAAAACATCAGAAAATACTTTGAAGAGCTGCAAATAATTTTTGTTGAGAATCTTAATCATTTTGTTCCACTATATCAAAAACAATCCGAAGTTAAAACACTTAAATTCAAGGTAAGTTTGTAAAAATTTTAATTAAAAGCAAAGTTGAAATTTTCTAAAACACAAAGTTAGAAAAATTGGTTAAGGCAGATAGCAAAAAGTTATCTCGGTGAAAAGTCACAATTTGGGCAGATTTTTTTATAGGCTACGAAAGTTTCTCTCAACCAAGCAACTTGTAACAACTTTCAAAACTTTCGCGCATTATATTCTTGAGAATGGAGTTTTGGCTTACGCAAAGCAGACCAAAATAGATTTTCTAGATCAAAAAGTGAAGTGCTTGTTCAGAGCAGATATATCTTAAGACTATGTCAATACCAATCATTCCAAAATCTAAGATTGAAAAAAAAGTTTTTTGGTAAGGAGCTCCATTTTATGAACTAGTGAAAACTGTGTCTAAAGTTTCAGATTTGAAAGCTTTTTTGAAGTTTTGAACGAGCTCATTACAAATAATTAAGTGAACAAACTTCCCAAGATGCGCAGTAGAGCAATAAGACTACAAACAAGAGTACACAGAAATGAACCAATTGTTGTTCGGCATTATCCTAATTTATCATCCTATTTATCTTGAAAACATAAAAAATTCCTCCTCCCAGAAAGTAATTTCATGCAATCAGATTTTTTACACGGCTACATCCTGGATTACGAAGAGCTTTTAAGAACTGCATTCTATCATGCAAGTAGGATCCATGATTTTTTTGGTAAAATTTTCATTTCTCGTTTTTTAGGCGAAAACCAATGAAAATTGAAATGTAAGTAGTCACATGATATAATTTCAAACATTTAGATATTATATTTCGCCCAGTATCAAATATTTACTAAATGAATTTCCGCTCTGAGACACCTGTGAACGAACCTGTAGGTCCAATGGTGCTCTCCTAGGCAGTAAATTGTTGGCGTGGCTTGTAAATTTTGTAGCTACCCACAATAGAATTACCTGAGTACAATTTTATTTTTAGTATCCTCATAATTGCAATAATGTTGATAATTTAAAATTGATTGCTAAATCACTCAGTTTCTGAATCGCATAAATTATCAACTGAAAAATTTTGACTTAAATTGTTGCTTAAACTTTCGTAAATTACAATTCCAATTCGGTTTGAAATTCTGCATGACAATTTTTGCAATTCGGTTCGAAATCTGACACCTAGTGTCAATGTTCGAGTTAATCTCAATAATCAACGAGAATTTAAATTAGGGATACTTCAAGTTGGTCGGGTCTCTAATGCAGTAACGGCTGCCGTAATAC